TTTTTCACCCTCCTCATTTACTGAAGTAGGTTCTTCTGCTTTCATGATTTGGAAGCGTTGCCAAAGACAGCCATGAAATAGGAAGCTGGGGGCAGGGGTAGGGCAGTGCAAGGAGGAGAAAAGATAAGAGGTTGTTACCTCCGTAAAACCTTCAGACCACAAAGCAATAAGTTGCGTAGCCACAGTAAAGATCTAGTTGGATTTAGATTTTAAGTTGCAGTTATTGCCAGTTTAGGCTATTACTTGGTTTTGGAGCTTTTATATACAATATTTTTGTTATACATCACAAGTTTGCAACATCTGCTTCAAAAAAGAATAGGAGGAGTATTCTTAAAGTGAGTTTAATTCCTGAAGTCTTGATGATTCATATATGTACATAGAGTCTGTGATCACATTTCATATTGCACCATACAGGAACACTTTATACAAATGAATGGCTTTTTATTTTCATATTAGTATCATGGTTCTAATTCAAGCCTATTAACCTCATAAGTTTGTCATTAGTCCTTGAAGAAAAATATTTAAGTATGTATTGTAACATGAGAATTTCTGTCTAAAGCAGGGCTTAAAATTTTGGGGGAATGTTTGACAAAATATTTCACATGATTTCAGATTTACCTCAATGCCAAGAATTATGTTTAGATAGGAAAATATAAACTTGTTTTGATCTCAGGTAGAAAAATAATTAGATTACTTTGAGTTTTATGTAGATTTAGACTTTTGAAAAGCTATAATTCTGTTTAACTAAAATTGATTTGGAAAATTATGCCTTTGTTTTTATTATTGATGATTGCACTATCATTCTTTTAGCCTTGTGTATTGAACTATGTTCAGAATCACACTTGTTTAGATCCTGAACAGTGTTATAAGAATCTGGTTGGTATTTGTCACCTTTATTTAAAAGCTGGCACCTGTACACATCAAAACTATTAATGTGGTTTGGTTTGATCAATAACCACTGCTTGATCCTTACAATTAAATTTTGTAACTAATGGAATTATTCTTTCAAAAATAGTTGTGTTTCTGTGAATTTTTTAGAGCAAGGGGTGGGGAGGGGGAGAGAAACCATTTCATCAGCTCTTATGTAACAAATTGAGTAAAGGAAAGGTCCATAAATCAAGAGGCACTCCCAAGAGAAAGCATCTTTACCATTTTTATTGGAAGTACTGATAAGACTTTTCATTCTATGATTTGTCATGGGGTACATTTTAATCATTACTAGTCTTTTCCTCATTTGAGCTTCAATACACTGATGACTGAAAGGACAGTTTTTATGAGAGACCTACAACCCACTTGAGAAGATACAATGGCCCTAGTCCAGTGGTCGGCAAACTTATTAGTCAACAGAGCCAGATACCAATAGTACAACGATTGAAATGTCTTTTGAGAGCTACATTTTTTAAACTTAAACTTCTTCTAACGCCACTTCTTCAAAATAGATTTGCCCAGGCCGTTGTATTTTGTAGAAGAGCCACACTCAAGGGGCCAAAGAGCCGCAGTTTGCCGGCCATGGCCCTAGTCTGTTTGGCTCAGTAGATAGAGCGCTGGCCTGCGGACTGAAGGGTCCCAGGTTCAATTCCAGTCAAGGGTATGTACCTCGGTTGCAGGCTCAATCCCTGGTCCTGGTGGGGCGTGTGCAGGAGACAACCGGTCGATGTGTCTCATATGGATATTTCTGTCTCTCCCCCTTCTTTCCTCTCTCGAAATCAGTGGAAAAATATCCTCAGATGAGGATTAAAAAAGAGTAGAGTTAACATGGGAATGAAGAGGAAAATAATTTAAAGTGAGATTAATTTAGATCCTCTGTAATAGAAATGCACCATGATGAAAAGAGTAGCTTGGCAAGTGATGGAACCATGTGTAAAGTAAGAAGATATAAAACACCGGGGATTGTGCTGTACCTCAATGTCCTTGCTAAAAGCATTTACTTACTTTTTTTTTTTTTTAACAATAAGCTCTCTCTTCATATTTTCAGTCTTATCCCATATGGTCATGCCTTTTTTCTTCAGTTTTAATTCATCCTTTATTACCACTTCAACTCTAGATATTTTCATGTCATATTTGGATTGTGAATATTCCCTTAACTTAAATGTCTATTTCCCAGACCTCATATACTGAATAGTACTTAGAATTAGTTTCTATTTGTTTCTTTTAATGCTATTTTCTTTTCTGTTAATCCTCACCTGAGGATATTTTTTTCCATTGATTTTTAGATAGTGGAGGGGGGAAAGGAGGTGGGAGGGATAAATATCAGTGTGAGCAAGATACATCAATTGGTTGCCTCCTGCAACCAAGATACGTGCCCTTGACCAGGAATCAAACCAGTGACCCTTCATTGCTGGGGCCAATGCTCTAAACACAGCAATGCTGACCAGGGCTGCTTTTTAAAAAAGAATTATTGATTTTTAGAGAGAGGAAGGAAGAGGGAGAGAATGAACACTAATCTGAGAGCAAAATATCCATTGGCTGCTTCCTACACAATCTCTACTGGAGACTGAGCTTGAAACCCCAGCATGTGCCCGGGACAGTGCCTCACAATGGAGCCACACCGGTGGGGCGTGTGCAGGAGACAACCAATCCATGTGCCTATTTTCTTCAGGTCACTCTCTTACTAGAATACTATTCTAAGTTACCCCAAACACATTTTTCGTCAGATTTATATTTCTCAAATTGATACCCAATTTCCATATTCTCTTTTTTAACTTTGTATCTGATCAAAGCTTTCCATTTCTGTACAACTTGCTAAATTCTATTTTAATACATTACAGATGAAATAAATGGCACCACTTATTAAATGCTTACTGTCATGGGTACTGTGCTAAATGCCTTCTTACGTATCTTTTCATCATATCCTCCTGAAAGGTAGGAGGCCCATATTACAGATGAGAATAAATTGCTCTAATTCATCAAGCTACTAAGTGACAGATTTTTGGGTTCAAACCAGGGTCTTTCTCACTCCAAGGCCTATCATCTTAATCTACACTGACTTCCACCCAAGCTCTAAAATAGGGGTGTCGAACTCAATCAGAGAAGGGGCCAAAATCTAAAATCCAGCCTAAATCATGGGCCGAATGGTTTACTGAACAGTCATAAACTGTCATTGTGATGGAAACGCAGCGGAATGCAGTGATGACAGCGCGGTGCGGGCCACACTGCAAGGCCTGGCGGGATGGATTTGGCCCGCGGGCCTTGTGTTTGACACATGTGCTCTAAAAGAACGTAGATGACTTAGGGCTGGTGGCCAATAAAATGTGGGTCTCCGGACCACAAGTCAACCTACTTTGTTGGTTCATTTTTTTTTTCTTACAGAGAGGAAAGGAGATAGAGAGCTAGAAACGTTGATGAGAGAGAAACATCGACCAGCTGCCTCTTGCACACCCCCTACCAGGGATGTGCCCGCAACCAATGTACATGCCCTTGACCGGAATCGAACCTGGGACCTTTCAGTCCGCAGACTGACGCTCTACCGCTGAGCCAAACCAGTTTTGGCTGTTGGTTCATTTTTAAGTGTAAATACTTGTGTACTATAACTTTGGATATATTACTTTACATAATTCCTGGCATCAGTAGTTCAGTCTAGCAAGGGACAGATGGATTCAGAATGTGAGAAGTGCTGTTGTAACAGATGGAGGAGCAGTTAATTCAGCTTAGATTTAGAAAGAGGCTTAGACAGGGAAAGAACATGTTAATAAGAAGGCATTTCTGACTGATCAACCAATGTATAAAGGCAGTTAAAGGACATACATTGCATTATGGATTTAAAGGGTAGAATGACCTGGTATGACTAGGCAGATGAATGAGAGTGAAGAAAGGATATCTGGAAATAAGGTTGGGTCCAAGTTGTGAAAGGTAATAGTCATTGATTCTCATAGGGTTGGGGATTTAAAAAAAAAATTAAAAAAAAAAAAAAATATATATATATATATATATATATATATATATATTTTTTTTTTTAGAGAGGGAGGGAGGGAGAGATAGAAACAAATAATGAGAATCATTGATTGGCTGCTTCCTGCAACTGGGGATTGAGCCGGCAACCTGGGCATGTGCCCTGCCTAGGAACCAAACCTTGACCTCCTGGTTCATAGGTTGACACTCAACCACTGAGCCACACCAGCTGGATGAGTTGGAGATTTTTTAAAATTCCAACTAGTAATTAAGTGGCTGGGGACATTTAAATTTATAAGTTCTGATTTATTAGATGATAAGTACTGATAAAATAGAGAAATGTTAAGTGTTTAGTTAAATGATCAATAAGATTAAGCATTAAAATTTATTTTTTGAATAAAATTCAAGAGTGATAAACTATTCCTCCCCAATTTGAGAAACAGAAAATTACATGGGAAAAAGAAAACTCAGACAAGACTGAAGGTCAGAGAAACTTCCTCATGTAGATTAAATACTAAGATCATAAATACTAAGACATAAAGATTAAACAAGGTTTGTAAAACAAGAACTGTAAGTATATTGTAAATAATAGCCCCTTGGATAAGACAAAACTTCAAAAAATGACAGAGTGGTAGCTTTATAAATATTCCTATCAGTAACAATTTGAAACCATCTAACTTTGTACCTTCAGTTTCTCTTAATAAATATGGTTCTACTACCACAAGATGTTTATCAGTCTCATGAAGGCATTGCAGTACTTATGCAACCTCAGCCTGAAACATTTCTTCCTAATCAGCTTATTTTCAAACAAAAGGTCATTTACAGGTTAGTTTTCCTGTCTTTAATTTTTTAATATACTTTATTGATTTTTTACAGAGTGGAAGGGAGGAGGGATAGAGAGTTAGAAACATCGATAAGAGAGAAACATTGATCAGCTGCCTCCTGCACACTCCCTACTGGTTATGTGCCCGCAACCAAGGTACATGCCCTTGACTGGAATCAAACCTGGGACCCTTGAGTCTGCAGGCCGGCCGACGCTCTATCCACTGAGCCAAACTGGTTAGGGCTCCTGTCTTCTTTTTAAAGGATGAACCTTCCTTCCAGCCAAAAAGTTCATTAAAAATTCTTTATTTAATATATTCTCTCATTCAGAGAATAAACTTGATATACATAGGTTGTTTTAAAATACTACAGTTGCTTTTTGACAGGTAATTTGATTAGTAGAGTTATAAAATATAAAAAGGAGAAAAAGATTACCAGAAATAAGGTTATTTTTAACAAAACTTCAGGAAAATCTTGATTATTAAAATCCTTGTATCTTACAAGTTTTGCATATATGGTTTTAGCTCTTCAGAGCCCTCTACCAGTAAGGCACCTGCAATAGTAAAGAAGTTGCTACTGCAGCCTTGGGAACATCTTAGTGTTGTATTGAAGCTTCTCTGACAAGGTACACTTTTAATCAAGACAGTCACACAATTATATAAGTACATCCTAAATTCCAAGTATAAATACTATAATTGAACTGATGGACTGGAACAAAACACAGATCCTTAGATTAACCATAGCAGCCTTTCAACAAGTTATTTCAATATCATAAAAATGGGAAATGTTAACACAGAAGTGGGATGGCAGCTGATTTTATGAAAGCTCACTCATTGCAACTACACATGAAATTTCAAGCTGTGACGTGGAGCTATTCTGTTACCAGGCAGCATCCCCTCACTGTATAAATAGCAACTAGCTGTTGGTTTCTTAAAACCAAACTAATGATTTGAAGACCAACATTGTCCATTTCCTATTCATGACTCAAAACACAGAATTCTTCCTGTCTGTTGAGTCCTTTTAGCTTATTTAAGGTAAGCTCTGGAAAGGAAAGAGATCAAATGCAATATAATCTCCTGGACTATCAGCTCCTTACTGCAGGCGTTCTTGACAGCAACAGGAGCCTTTGCTTCAGCCAGATTGCAGCAGGTTCCAAATCAACATCCTACAAGGGTTCCCATGCTTGTGGAGAACATCAAGCAAACTTCTTCTTGGTGGCCGTGAACCTCTCCATGTACTAAAAATCATGAAAGAAAAAAATATATAAGTGGTGTTTTGGCATGAGCAAATACCTTTATCATATGATTTTTTTCCCATTTAGTTTTCATTGGATATGGTCCCTCATTTCCTACAAAAATCTACCTATTTTAAATGCAAATCTAAAGCACATAGTTTTGGGGTCTTTTAAGCTTTGATATTTTAATAGGAAGCCTATTAAAAGACAAAGATGCTTTACAATATACCATCTAGAGAAAAAATCATCTTGGTACAATACAAGAGTGTACAGTACATCTTGGTTCAAGAATTTGGCTAACTCTTAGAACTTGCCTCTGAAATGGAAAACAAATCCTGTTGACAAATAGGACTATCCATGCAGCCTGTGGCTATAAACATTCATGTAGGTTACTTCACCATTCTCTTCTCTGGAGCAGTGACTAAAAATGCAAAAGTATATGACTACATACCTTATCATAGCCTTCTAGTTCTCGAAGTTTCTTTATTTCAAAAAGGTTGCCTTCCACAGCAAGCAGACATATCTGGGAATCACTGAGGATGCTCTGTGGAAGCATGCTGAGCTCAAGGCAATTCTCTTCCAGGCGAAGAACTTTAAGGCGAGGACAGCAAGATATCTTTACTGAAATCTGAGATATCTATTAAACAAAAAAGAATAACAGGAAAAATTATAAATACTGTAATGGTTATTTTTTTACTAAATTTAAGCAAAAAAACCTTTACTTGACAATTTGTCCTAGTTCTCTTTTTACCGCCTCCATTTTCTTACTACCTACTCATTCCAGAAGCCTCTGTCATGTAGCATCTGTGACTACTCCTCCACTTTTTTAAAAAAAAAATATTTTGATTTTTTACAGAGAGGAAGAGAGAGGGATAGAGAATTAGAAACATCAATGAGAGAGAATCATCGATCAGCTGCTTCTTGCACACCCCCTACTGGGGATGTGCCTGCAACCAAGGCACATGACTGGAATCGAACCTGAGACCTTTCAGTCCACAGGCCAATGCTCTATCTATTGAGCCAAACTGGTTTCGGCTCCTCCACTTTTTTGGGAGGTGAGGAAGGAGGACTTGCTTTTTGAACCAGTGGTTTTTGGAAATAAAATTTTCTGATAATAAAAGCACTCTTATAGAAAACTTGAGAATCAATTTTTTTAATTTAAAGAAAATAACTGCATCTACCAGCAATAAACATTTTGGTACATTCACTGCCAATCTTTTATGTGTATATAAATGTTTGATTGTACTATCTATCCCTTCCTTGAAACCCTCTACTATAAGTCCTAAGTTTTTCTTTCTAACTTTTGAATTATTCCTCATTTTTGGCTTCCTTTCTTGTTCCTATGGACATTTTTCAAGCAGTAGCCTCCAATACTTAATATTTGGTTGTCTGTCTAAACTTTCTTTTAGAAAGCCCATCCATTTATTATTAAAGCCATCATTTCTGTTACGAATTCAAAATCTATATCTACAATCAAATCTCTCACCTCTATTCCACTCCTATGTCTCCCAATTTTTAGTACCTTTCCATTTGCACCATCATAATCAATACATGTCTATTCTCAACAGCATCACTCTTTTTAGGCCCTCAAATTCAGTAACAAGCAAGTATCTTTAATTCATTCACTTCTTTGCCCATTAAATATTCCAAATCACCAAATAATATTTACTCCACCCGGTATCATCTCAGATGGTACCTTCCCCCACAAAATATCACCTGGGAACTTCTCAGACTCCACCCCAGACCTACTGAATCAGAAACATTGAGGGGTCCAGTGATCTCTCTCAACAAGCTCTCCTGAGGCACACTAACGTCTGAGAACCATCAGCATAGGTGAATGTGGAATGAGTGCTCAACAAACACTTGTTGCTTAACAATTTTTTCAAGTTTCCCCCCTCCCCTCAAAATAGTCAATTTTTCTAAAAAGTTCAAAAACATTCATTTAAGCCCTAGCTCATTTGGCTCAGTAGAGTGTCAACCTGCGGACTGAAGGGCCCCAGGTTCAATTCCAGTCAAGGGCAAATGCCCGGGTTGTGAGCTTGATCCACAGTGTGGGGTGTGCAGGAGGCAGCTGATCGTCGATGATTCTCATCATTGATGTTTCTCTCCCTCTCCTCTAAAATCAAAAGTATACTTAAAAAAAATATTCATTTAAGGAAAAGAGGAGGCTAATATCTTCAAAGACATACTGAATTTTATAAATAATTTAAGGCCACTACAATTTAGGATAATTTTGTCCCAATAAAACTTTTATGCAATGATCGGAATGTTTTATATCTGTGCTATCCAGTATGGTAACCCACTGTCACACATGGGTTTTGAACACTTCAAATATGGCTTGTGGCAACTGAGGAACTGAATTTTTAATTCAAATGAATTTTAATAGCCACATGTGGCTAATGGTTACTGTACTGGGCTGTAGATCTAGAAGTATAGATACTACAAAAACTAAAGGCCACCTATCTCACTCTGTTTAATGTTTCATCATCTGTGTCTTATGTCTAAAACAAAGATTGTTTCTCCAGTTATACATAATAACCAAAGAGCTTCCAAAGTATTGGAATCAAATTTCAAATAAAGCTGTCCAACAATGAAATGAGCTGTCTCCAGAATGCCTATTGCTGATGGTTTCTTAACAAAAGCAGAACACACATTGACAAAGATGTCCAAAACAGGACAACAGATTACCTCTGATGTCTAACTCTGAGAACCTATGAGCGTAAGCTTCTTTTCCACTTTTTCTGACAGCTCCATACACACACACACACACACACACACACACACACACAGCGCGCGTGCACACATGAGGTCTGATACAGGAAGATTTGTACAAGAATAGGCTTTTCTCCCCCTGGCTGCCGGCACCGAGACCTGGGCCTTCTTATTGGCTGTGGGCGCCGCCATTTTTTGTCTTGAAGTGATGGTCAATTGGCATATTCCATATTTATTATAAAGAGATATATATATATATATATATATATATATATATATATATATATTTGATTTCAGAGAGGAAGGGAGAGGGGGAGAGAGAGAAACAATGATGAAAGAGAATCATTGATTAGCTGCCTCCAGCACTTCAGCATATGCCCTGACTGGGAATTGAACAGTGACCTCCTGGTTCATAGGTCAGCACTCAACCACTGAGCCATGCTTGCTGGGCCTGACAACTCCTTGTTAGATGACTGGAGACATGTTTGAAAAGGATCTGTAGAACTCTACAAGATTTGTGAGACAGAAGTTTAACTTTTGAAGTTAGCACCCTGTTACCATCCCAACCTCTAAAATACACAGCAAACACAACTAGTGTCTCAACCATCTCCACGAGACTTTGGGCTTTGAAATTAGTCCAGCCCACAGAATATACTTCTCAACCAGCTTCTAATGCCCAGCTCCATGATTACAGTTTAGAGAAAAAAAGGTTATTCAGGATATATATTAGAAAAGAACCCTTAAGCCAAAACCGGTTTGGCTCAGTGGTAGAGCGTCGGTCTGCGGACTGAAAGGTCCGGGTTCGATTCCAGTCAAGGGCATGTACGTTGGTTGCGGGCACATCCCCGGTGGGGGATGTGCAAGAGGCAGCTGGTCGATGTTTCTAGCTCTCTATCCCTCTCTCTTCCTCTCTGTAAAAAATCAATAAAAATATAGTAAAGAAGAAAAAAGAAAGAAAGAAAAGAACCCTTAAACTCTAGACCTGGTTCTGGTTGAGGTTGAGTTCGATGACCTGCAGCTCCCCCACTGTGTCAGGTATGCTCCGAATCTGGTTCTTGGAGAGATCCACCACATCCAGGTGCTGTAGGTTACAAAGTTGGGGTGGAAGTGCTCGCAGCTGGTTCCCAGAGAGGCTCAGGGTCTTGAGGGCAGACAGTTGCCCAAAGGTAGACGGCAACTCTCTCAAGTGATTGTTGTTTAGGCTTAGTGTCTCTAGTTTTTTCAGATTGCATAACTCACCAGGAAGAACAGCTGGCAAAGACAAAAAAACAAACAAACACACACACACAAAAAAAACACCACATAAAAACCTGTATCTGATACAGAAAAACACCTTTGATGAAGTTAATAAAAATTACATGGCAGCCTGCTATGCCCATTGTTAACATACACAGAATTCCCACTTGTGCCATTTTTAAAGTACTGCATTTTTGCTAACATAGTCTTCAGAAGGTGAGAGTGCCATCAAAATGCAAGAAAGCATGTATGTGTATATTCTGTATAGGAACCTCCGCACAACCTGACAGCAATTTTGTGGGATTTGGAAGTCCCTCCACTTCTATTGCCCCGTCCAAATTTTCCTAGTACCAATCATTTTACCACCAGAGGCTTGCAGATGTAAATACAAGAGAAAACTTCAAGGGCTCTGACATTCTCCTGCGTCTTGAGAAGTCGGAACGGTCTCCTATCAAAAATTAGCTTGTAAGAGAGCATCCCCCTTCCTAACAGCTGAGCAGTAGTAGCAAAAGCCATACTCAGTTTATTGTTGTTCAAGGAGAGGCTCTTCAGCAGCGTGAACTTCCCTATGATCGTAGGCGGTAGGCTCTCGATCTTGTTGTTGGATAAGTCGATAGTCCTGAGATTGCTCGTCAGCTTCTGTAACTCTGAAGGGAACTGGAGAGAAAGGGGGTTCACAGCGCTGAGAATCCCTCGCGGATTAACGTCACCGCCCCCGCCACCCCATCTCCCGTTTAATCCCCAGGTCCGGTCCCTCCCAGTCTCACCTCGGTCAGCCCGCGGTCCTTAAGCTGAAAGACCCCAGTTTTCTGCGCCGTTTCCACATGAGCGCGGAGGGCACTGTTTCCCATGCTAGCGCCGCGGCTCTGGTCCCTGCGGGGAGGAAGTGCAGCTGTCACCGCCGGGGCAGGCACGCAGCCACCCCTTCGGCCTCCGGGCTGCGGCTCCTACCCTAGGCGGCGCCTCCCGCAGAACTAGGAATCTTGGCGAGGGGGAGAGGGAAGCACAGGCCGCCCGACCACCAGGCCCTGTCACTGCCGCAGCCGTTCCGAGGCTAAACGCCGCTAGGAGCCTGCGGTGGACCGGGGAGCCCTCTCGGCGGGCTCCGAAGACGACCCGGGAGGCGCGCGAGCCTGCCAGGCGCTTCCCGGGCTTCCGCCTGCGCGGAGACGCCCCGTGACGTCATCGAAGCGCGCGGCGCGTCAGGCGGGCGCTCCGCTCACTCCCGGCGCCGCCCGGGGAGGTGCGTTTCCGTCATGGCTGCGGCCGACCCCTGGGACCCGGCGACCGCGCCAAACCCTGCGGGGCTACTGCTGGGCCATCTCGCGGCCACGGGCACAGTCACTCAGGTACGTGGGCGGCGATGGCGTCATTAAGGGGGTGCCCCGGTGGCGACAGGAGGAGGCCGCGAAGTGGTGCTGGCCGAGGCTGTCCTGGATGGAGGAGGCTCAGGTGGAGCCCGCTCCGGGCCGGGGCAGGTACTGTTCTGCTGGAGCGGGGTTCTGAGGACGTGGTGACTCGAAGAGACGGGGTTTCGGGTGTCTGCGGGCGAGTCATCCCAGGTCTGTGCGTGGGAGATAATAAAGACCGGTTTTCCCGCCTTTTTTTTTTTTTTTTTTTTTCCATCTAGTGCTACCATCTCTAGATTGTGTGAGTGGCGGGGTTGGGAAACCGGCTAATTGAAGGATACGTTCTGGAACTGTTTGACATTGAAATTGGGTCTCAAAAGAACTGTTGGCCCAGAAAGAAACTCACTACAGGTTGATTCATATGCTTTTCAGCATAACCATTATGGCTTGTCTCCTTTTCGGTTCTTATAAGTGTATTTCTAGTAGGACATGATCTCATCTAGGGGAAATGACGAACAACACCGACGGATGAACAAGAATAGACCCAGAGACAAGGAGCCATGGATCAGACTGTCGGACCTCAGAGGGAGGGGAGAGGAGGGTGAGGTTAACGGGGAGAGATCAACCAAAGGACTTGTGTGCATGCAGATGAGCCTAACCAGTGGTCATGGACAACAGGGGGCTGAGGGTATGCGTGGGGAGGGGTTTGGGATGGGAATGGGGGGGGGGGGTGTCAGGACAAATATGTGATACCAATAAAGAAATAAAAAATAATAATCAAGCATACGTTCCCTAACAAGTGAGGTATTGAAGCATATTTGGGGCGGGAGGCGCCTGAGAGCGCCAGGGGAGACAAGATCTTAAAGGCCCCTCACAAAAGTATTGGTGATAAAGACCTGAAAGACCTCCTAACCTGAATGGAGGAAGGGATTAATTTTGAGAAGGAGAGACCAGAGATTAGCGCATGGGGTGGCTAGGGTGGGTTAGGTTGGGCAAGAAGAGCATGTGCATAGGCCAAAGGAAGAAGCCAATAAAGGGAGAAATGGAAGGTGTGAGGGAATACTGGAATACACGTGGCAAATTTCAATCGTACTGTTGATGTTTTTTTTTTAAATTTATTTTATTAAATTATTATCTGTGTACATATCGTACTGTTGATGTTTGGTTCTGCCGACCACTAGTGTAGTGTAGCAGTTGTTCTGGGGAGGAGCTTCCTAATATTCTTCAAGTAACACTAATTACCTGTTTGCCTAGGTAAGTTCTGCCAATCCATAGTTCCATGAAACCATCTTACAGACTTACTGCAACTTTACATATGAAAACCTGCTTTAATTAGAAGGGTTTAAATTAGGTTCTTTCAAAATGATGCGTTATATGATCCCTTTAAACAGTCCATTTCTTTTTTTTTTAAATGTATTTTATTGATTTTTTACAGAGAGGAAGGGAGAGAGAGAGTTAGAAACCTCGATGACAGAGAAACATGGACCAGCTGTCTCTTGCACACCCCCTACCGGGGATGTGCCCGAAACCAACGTACATGCCCCCGACCGGAATCGAACCAGGGACCTTTCAGTCCGCAAACCGACGCCCCACCACTGAGCCAAACCGGCTTTGGCTAAACAGTCCATTTCTTAAGTGCACATCATTCCATGTGCATTAAAAATTAAGAGTAATGCTTAAAATTGTTGTGATACAATTCTTCAACAAACATAGCTTGTTGAGTTTTGATCTATCCATGGGAGAATGATTTAGTGAAAGAAAGGATTAATTGTAGAATAATATGGAGTATTTGCTTGCTTTTGTGCTTTAGTGGCCTTACATTCTAGATCAAGCATGTCAAACTCGCAGCCCACAATGAATATTTTTACAGCCCAGCCAATATAATGGTATGTAAGAAACGGTTTTAATAAAAAATTTGTAACTTAATTTTTACAATATCCTGTTAGACATAATTATTAATAACGAACACAACGTTCGCTAATGACTGGTTACTATAGTTGTGTTGCATTCATTTCCCTTATGCACCTTACTCGAAGGCCCACCATTTCTCTCCGCTAATACTAACGGAGTATTTTAGCAGCCAATTGCCACGTAGTTAGTCTTGGTCTGACTTGTTTGGTGTGTGCAACAGGAAATATTTAGCTTTCGGAGAAAAGAAAAATACATTTATTTGCGTGATGCTTATTAATTTGTGCAGTTATTCAGTGTCTGGCAAGTTAATGCTCAAGAAAAAATATTAATTTTTGTTAAAATGTTCTATTATTTTGTTAACGATTACTCATTTATTTCAGTCCTTTGTATTCAGGATGTCTCTGTCGAAATAAACCTACATTTCCATGAAAATTGAAGCTTTTATTTTTTTGTGACCCACATAAACTTAAACCTTGTTTTTTTGGCCCATGTTAGACTTTGAGTTTGACATGCAAGATTCCATGACTAACTCAAACTTGCCTGAAAAATACCTAGGTTTTTCAGGCAAGTTTTGAGTTAGTCATGGAATCTTGATCAAAGCTCCCTCTACTGGCAATGTATAAGATATTATAAGGATCTAAATCTACAAAACACCCAGGATCTACTATTTTCTAAAATATATATTTTAGGGATTAGTCAAAATCTTCAAATAGTTAGAATTTCTGTTTACTAGAGGAATTGGATGCTCTTTAATGCCTATCTTTTCTCCCTCTCTTTCTCTCTCTCTCTCTCTCTCTCTCTCTCTCTCTTTCTTGAAGATTCTTATATTCCCTCTGGTTTCTACCACAAGTTTTTGGCTAAGTTCCATTACCTTGTTGAACCCATCAGTTTACTAGTTTGCAAGTGAGCAACTAAGATTAGTGTATACATATGGGGAGAGTGAGTAGGTTACAATAAGAAATGGAAGATATTTTACTTTTCATTTACTTCTACCTAAGAGCAGAAGAAAAGAGGGTATGATGGAAATGTAGTGTGTTAGATGGTTCTCATTTCAGCCCTGATGCACACTGACAGTGTGAAGTTGAACAACACTTAACTTTGCAATTTTCAGTCTTTGCCATCAATAAAATATCTTGTGTTACCTACCTAAATGAATGGTTAACTATCTGTTCAGTCACCTGAAGCAGCATCTTTGGAGTCAGTATTAACTTGACTTTATCCCTCATTCCCCATATCAACTAGGACTTATAAATTCTATCTTCCCAGGGATTCATTTCTCTGCCCACTTTCCTTTTTAACTGCTATTGACCTACTCCACATTGTCATCTTCTCACCTGGAATGCTATAGTAGCCACTTATCTAAATATCCAATCTTCACTCCTCTATTAGATTTTTTTTTGTTTTTTTTTGTTTCATCTTGTTGACTAGTTACTAGAATGCTTTATATTCTAGCTAGAGGCCTGGGGCACAAAATTCGTGCACGGGTGTGTGTGTGTCCCTCAGCCCAGCCTGCACCCTTTTCAATATGGGACCCCTCCAGGGACGTCTGACTGCCTGTTTAGGTCTGATCCTGCCGGGAGGATCCTACTGGGATAGGGCCTACATGGGCAATAGGACATCCCTCTCACAATCCAGGACTGCTGGCTTCCAACTGCTCACCTGCCTGCTTTTCTGTTTGCCCCTAACCATTTCTGCCTGCCAGCCTGATCAACCCCTAACTGCTCCCCTGCAGGCCTGGTCCCCCCCTCAACTGCCCTCCCCTGCATGCCTATTTCTCTCCCCCCCTCCCCCCACTGCTCTCCCCTGCAGGCCTGGTCCCCCCCTCAACTGCCCTCCCCTGCATGCCTATTTCTCTCCCCCCCTCCCCCCACTGCTCTCCCCTGCAGGCCTAGGTCCCCCTCAACTGCCCTTCCTTGCAGGCCCAGTTGCCCCCAACTTCCCTCCTCTGCTGGCCTGGTCACCCCTAACTGCCCTCCCTTGCAGGCCTGGTCCCTCCCAACTGCTCTCCCCTTCTGGCCATCTTGTTGAGGCCATCTTGTGTCCACATGGGGGCAGAATCTTTGACCACATGTCAAAGGTAGCCATATTGTGTGTTGGAGTGATGGTCAATTTGCATATTATTCTTTTATTAAGATAGAGGCCTGGTGCATGGGTGGGGGCTGGCTGGTTTGCCCTGAAGGGTGTTCCGGATCAGGGTGGGGTTCCCTTGGGGCATGGGGTGGCCTGGGTGAGGAGCCTGTGATGGTTTACAGGCCATGCCCCCAGCCTGGCTATCCAAGCAGAGGCCCTGGGATCTGGGATTTATTTATCTTCTATAATTGAAACTTTGTAGCCTTAAGCAAAGGCCACGGCTGGGAAAGCTTGTCTTCCTCCATCACTGGGAGCAACTCAAGCCTCCTGCTCCTCCAGCTCTGTTGCTGCCGCCATTTTTGTTGGGATTTATTTATCCTCTATAATTGAAACGTTAGCTTTGAGTAGAGGCTTGGGCCCGCCAGGGTGTGCGAAAAGCTTGGCTTCTCCATTGCCGGAGAAACCCAAGCCTCCTGCTTGCTCCGTGGTCACAGCCATCTTGGTTGTGTTAATTTGCATTCTCACTCCTGATTGGCTGGCGGGCGTGGATTATGAGTGTAGCGGAGTGATGGGTAATTTGTATATTACCCATGTTTCCCCAAAAATAAGATCTAGTGCAACTTTGGGAGAAAAAATTAATATAAGACACTGTCTTATTTTCAGGGAAACAGGGTACTCTTTTTTTAGATAGGATAAAATGGACATAACATAAAATTTGCCATTTAGCCATCTGAAAGTGTACAACTCAGTGGCATGAAGTACAGTCACAATGCTGTGAAACTAG